TTCTCTAACTTCAAATGTAAGCTTACTCATTTCGGCATTATTTTCCAAATAGTTTCCTCCTGTAATGGTACTTTCTCGTTTTTCCAATTTTTGGCAAATACAATTCTAGCAGCTGTTAAAACATTCACAATCAGGTATTTCAAGTCCTTATTGTATGCTTCTGGTATTATTCCCAATAAAAAGAGTCTTTAAGTCTATGTTTATGTATCATTTTCTCCAACCACATGTGGATTTTATCCACCCATTGCTTCTTGTTCTACCCTCAGGTGCCTTGGAGAATAGTTTGACTCCCTCTTCTTTGTGGCAACCCCTGAGACATTGGAACACTGATATAATGTCTCCCCTAGGACTTCTTTTTTTTAAACTAGACATACCCAGTTCCTGCAACCGTTCTTCATATGTTTTAGTCTCCAGTCCCCTAATCATCTTTGTTGCTCTTCTCTGCACTCTTTCCAGAGTCTCCACATCTTTTCTATATTGTGGCGACCAGAACTGAATGCAGTATTCCAAGTGTGGCCTTACCAAGGCATTATAAAACTTTTAGACATACATAAATCTGATTCACCTTTTAAATGACATTGGCTGAAACAGGCACCACTTCACTTATTAGTCTGTTAATCAGGGTTTACTATATGTGCATTTGTGTATGTATGTATACTTATACTATATATCAGTGGAAATGATTTAGCCTATAGAATCCTGAATTTGAGGACTAGAATATTCTATCAGATAATTAGAGGATTATAAACATCCATTCAGAGTTCCTTGGAGGATTTGTACCATCCAATTTCCTTGAATATTTAGATTTATCTCTAAGGCAACTTTGTTTCCAGGGGTGAACACAAGCTTATGTGGGAATTTTTTTTTTTTTTTGGAATCTCAGCAGACTCAGAAAAATTAAAAACATGTCCCTGCCCTGATGATCTTGTTTGCATACTCCTCCTTTGCAGGCATTACATTTGATGATTTTTTTTAAAAAAAGGTTATATAATATATAGCAGTTGTCTGAAGAATTAACTTAAGCTTTCATGTTCAGAGTTCCAGCAACTATATTGGTATGGCTATTCGTGGTGGTCATCTTATTTGTGCCTATAACTTAGGAGGCTCCGAAAATGAAATACGAGTGAAGGAAAAATTGAATGAGAAAACCACTAAGGATATAGCTTTGGATCAGGTCACATTTAAGAGGTATGGACCCTTAAAATAGATCCTTTCCAATTATTTTGCACTCATATTGGAAGACTTTCAATTGTATGCATTTTTCTTCTTCTCTAGAATTTACCAGTATGCAGAATTAGCATACAAGCATGCTGCACCCTCAGATTTGTCAACCAAAGATCTCAGTAGGAATAGTAACACTCTTCTTAACTTGGATCCTGACAAAGTGGTCTTCTATGTGGGAGGATATCCACCAGAATTTACGGTAATAGCTTTATGTCTTATGCAAATATTAGAAAAAATAAATCATTATTTTTTATAATCCAATAGATGACATTTCTCATAGTTTTATCATAGTATTCTTACAAAAAAGTACTTGGAAATAAAATCTCCACTGCAGTATATGCCTTGAGAGGTTATGTTGTAGTTTATTTTTGGTCGAATTCTGTGTCAAGCATTATCCAGCTTTGAAACAAAGAAGCAAAATTCTGAAAATGGAAAAAATTAGTCAGCTTCCATGATTTATTTGACTTTTGGAGTTATAGAAAAAGGTTAAAAGAATTTATAGATTTGTCAAACCTATGACATTTAATATTTTTAATATAAATATAAAACCAATTTGGTTTCAGAAGCAGAATTCATCAAAAACACTTCAGTTTCTTTGAAGCACCTCAAGAAACTATTTAAGACATGCTTCAGCTGATTATTTTCCTAATATGGTGTATTAGGCCAAAACAAAAGTCTATCTGAAACCACTGAAATTCCTTAAAATAATAATTATAAAATATTTGATTTAAAGTTACTATTCCAGATCCTGCATAATTTCAAGTAAAATAGTGCCATCTAACTTTGGAGTAAAATTGAACATAAAAAATTCAGAGAGTTTTCTGGGCCACATTTTTGAAGTGGCTTGGGATCGTTGCCTTCTTGTAGGTCAGTGATGGCTAACCTTTTCTGGACTGAGTCCCAAAGCATGCATGTGTGTGTGCACCTGAACCCTCAAAATGCCATGCGCATGCACACCCTGCATGCGCTCTGGCCCCACGGAGGCACATGCCCCCATCCCTGTGCATTCGAGCATGCCCCTCCGCATGCACCCTGCCCCTGTATGGCAGAAACTTGATGACCAGCTGGTCGGCAGGAGGTGCACGTGCATGTATGGTGGAGCTGAACTAGGGAGATGACTCGCGTGCCCACAGAGAGGGCGCTGTGTGCCACCTGTGGCACACATGCCATAGATTCGCCATCACGGTTCTAGGTTGTTAAGAGATAGGCTTCAAACTGGCTTCATGCCTAAAATAGGATTTTAACTCATGGTCTCCTGTTTCTAGCCTATAACCAGTACACCAAACTGGCTCTCAAATATAATTGCAATCAATATAATTAAAGAAGGTGGAAATCCACATCCACATGCAACTTGCTTTAGAAAAGTAATCTGAAACATTTCAAAAGCTTTTCAGCTTCTAAAGATTTTAATAGAACAGAATTTAATACTTCTTGAGCTATGTCCAAAATCTATTAATAAATGTAAATTGTCTGATGTCTAATTTTAATAAATCTGGACTGAGATGGATAAATTATGTATGATAACACTCACTGCAATGATCTAGCCAACAAAACAGTTAATAGTGTCTACCTTAATTAATGATATGGGTTTATATCTTTCCATAGAATTTAGAACCTTTACCTGATTTTAAATTCACTTTATATAAGCCTCATAAAAAGATAAAGGCAATTAATCATATGTAAATTATTTAGTATAAACCTCTTATAATACTGGGCTCAAAAGAATGATAAAATATTTATACCATTTAATAAGGAAACCATCTAGGCTGGAGGCTTTCTGCTTTTCATCAGCTGAATTGTCTCAAATATTTTTTAAGTTCCAAAGCTGCTTTCAAAACCCTTGCACAATCCTGTGGTAACAATTGAATATCAAATTCACTCAAAATATTATTCATTTGCTGTTGATCTACTGTATCATAAAATTCATAAAATTACTTATTTTATATTAAAATACAAGTGAGAAAGTGTAAATTAATTAGATTACATTTTGTGTTTCTCTTGTTTTAAATAATGTGCTAATAAATTACCAGTTTTCCACCAATATTTAACTTCAATCTTTTCAAAGAAAATTTAATCTGATCAACCTAAAATTATCTATTTCTGTGATGGCAAACCTATGGCACACATGCTAGAGGTGGCACGCAGAGCCCTCTCTGCTGGCATGAGTGCCATCACCCCAGGTCAGATCTCTGTGGCGCTTCTTTCGTGAGCTTCTTTTTCCCTGCAAACAACGAAACAAAAGCTCACAAAGCAAAAAGATCTCATCTCTTGCCATGCTGCTGGTGTTGGGATGCCCCACCTCCTGCCGGCCAGCTGATCTTTGGGTCTCTGCTATGCATGCAAATATGTGCATGCAGTGCACATGTTTGCACAGGCGCATGTTTGCGCTTGTGCATGTTTGTGCGCACGCACGTCTTTTCATTTGGGCATGCGCATGAGCAGTTTGGGCACTTGGTGGATAAAAGGTTCACCATCACTGTTCTAGATCTTTCTGCCCACAATCTATTTTTCTTTTCTTTTTGCATTACAGAGTGACAGGGTTTTGTTGCAGTAGTTTTAGATGGGACACTGATGGGATAATTGATTTTGCATATTTATTGATCAGCTGAAGAGTAAACACCACTTGTCTCAAGATTTTCTCTGCCTGTTTTCTTTATTCTGAAGAATGAGTATAACTGCATGGTTGACTTCAAAATAGACTGGAGAAATTGAGAAATGTTATGTGAAAGTGAGATTTTTAATTATTAGGGCCAACATTCAGTGAATCAGTAAATCCCAAATATTCAAAGTTATTTTTGCAATCTTAAAAGTCAAAACCTTTCTTTTAAAGTTCTTTTAATTAAGAATTAGAATGTTAAGGATATGGAATTTTGAATGTAATTGTAATGGTTGGGTCTGTATAATGCAATAATGAAAATGTATCAAAGGTCACAGAATCTCATGACAATTGCAATTTCTATATTTATACTGTACTGAGCATTATTGAAATTTGCTTTTTTATTATTTCATCTTAGCTTGGAATTAATTTGTTTTTCCATTTCTGGGTAAAGGCAATCCTTGCCGCTGTAGTATTAGATATTGGATTTCTTTTTTGTATTTCGCAGACATTATTCCTAATTAAAAAAACTTCAGGTTTCCATTCTATTTTAACCCCTGTTATTGCCTCCAGCCAATTTTTGATCCTTTTCCAAAAAATTTTAGCCTCCTCACAGGTCCACCATAAATGGTAATATGTTCCGTGTATTGATTCGCATTTCCAACATTTTGGGGAGGTATTTGTTAAGATTTTAGCTAACCTTGTTGGTGCCAGGTGCCATCTGTAAAACATTTTGTACTGGTTTTCCTTGTATGCAA